TGGCCTTCGGCCTAAAGAATTCAGGCGCCACTTACAACCAGATGGTGGCCATGGTCTTTCAAGCCGTCCTGGGGCGCACCATGGAGGCCTATGTTGACGACATGATCGTCAAAAGCAAACAATCATCAACCCATGCTGACGACCTCCGGGAGATATTCGCCATCATGCAAAAGTTCAACCTTCGGCTAAACCCAAAGAAATGCACCTTCGGCATGCAAGGAGGCAAATTCTTAGGCTACATGGTGAGCCGAAGGGGTATCGAGGCCAACCCCGAGAAAATCCAGGCCACCATCAACATGGAGCCCCCACGCAACGTGAAGGAGGTCCAATGGTTGATGGGCCGCTTGGCAGCCCTCAACTGCTTCCTATCCAAATCGGCGGAGAAGTCTTTACCCTTCTTCCAGATCATGAGGAAGACCACCGACTTCAAATGGACTTCAGAATGCCAGGAGGCCTTCGACGAACTAAAACGGTATTTATCTTCACCCCCTGCGCTCTCCAAACCTAAGGTAGGGGAAACTCTATACCTTTACCTTGGCGTCAGCCCGGCTGCCATCAGCTCAGTGCTCATCCGGGAGGAGGATGGCGTCCAACATGCCATTTTCTATATTAGCAAGACCCTCAGGGAGGCCGAACTCAGGTACTCTCATGTGGACAAAATGGTGCTGGCCGTTGTCTGGACCGTCAAGAAACTAGGCCATTACTTCCAAGCTCATCCGGTCCAGGTCCTCACGCATCAACCCCTCGGCCCCTTAATGAGGAGCCCCACCAGCTCCTCCCGAATGGTAAAATGGGCTATCTTCCTCAACCAATGCAACATTGACATCCGTCCACGGCCTGCCATAAAGGGCCAAGCCCTGGCGGACTTTGTGACGGAATGCACGGCAAGATCAGCCACAGACGAGTAGCCTTCGGCACCCTCAAACGACTGGTGGACCCTCTACACCGACGGCTCCTCCGCAGCCAAAGCATGCGGGGAGGGGTAGTGCTCATCAAACCCGAAGGCTTCCAAGCCTATTATGCTATCCGCTTCTCCTTCAAAGTCTTCAACAACGAAACGGAATATGAGGCCCTCCTTAGTGGCCTTCGGCTGGCAGCAAACATGAAGGCCAGGGCTTGGCCCTTTATGGTCGGCAGCAAACATAAAGTGCGACTCCAAGCTGGTCGTCGGCCAAATTTCTGGGGAATATGAGGCCAAGGAAGGGAGGATGAAACAATACATGGAGGCGGCCAAAGAGTTGCTTAAGGTATTTGAGGCACATTCTCTCACTCAAATACCGAGGGCTCAAAACTCTGAGACCGACATTCTGTCAAAGCTCTCGGCCGAGTCCCCTGAGCACATATCCAAGATTGCAAAAATCGAGGAACTCACCCTCTCCAGCATACATGCCAGCCCAGTCATGAACATACAACGAAGGCAAGAGGACCGGATCTCAGACATCATCGCCTTCATCACCACAGGGCAGCTGTCCGAGGATGAAGCCCGCGACAAGCTAGCAAAGCTGAGGGCTCCCAGTTATACCCTCAAAGACGGAAGGCTCTACAAAAGATCATACAACGGTACGCTGCTCCGGTGCCTTCACCAAGATGAAGCCGAAGTTGCGATGGAGGAGGTGCACAGTGGCACTTTCTCAGCTCACCAGGGACCCTTCTCTATGTGCCGAAGGCTCATAGTCCAGGGCTACTTCTGGCCCACCATGACCCGGGACTGCGCGGATCTCGCCCGAAGGTGTACCGCCTGTCAACACTTCCAAAAGGCTCCCGGCAGGCCAGCGGTCAACTATGCCCCCATCAGCACATCCATACCCTTCGCTAGATGGGGCATAGACCTTGTGGGCCCTCTGCCGAGGGGTAACACCAACAACAGGTACATCATCGTCGCCATTGACTACTTCACCAAATGGGTGGAAGCTGAGCCCCTCGCCAGCATTACCGAGGCCAGGTGCCGCCATTTCGTCCTCAAGAACATCCTCACGAGGTTTGGCGTCCCCCAAAAAATCATCTTCGACAATGGAACTCAGTTTTAGGCAGCCCCCTTCTGTGCCCTCCTGGAGGTGTGGGGCATTAAACATACCTTCTCATCCGTTGCCTACCCTCAGGGCAACGGTCAAGTGGAGAACGCAAACTGGACTTTGCTTGAGGGCCTAAAGAAGAAGCTAGAAGCCGAAAGGGGAGGCTGGGTAGAAGAACTCCACAACATCTTATGGGCCTACCGCACCACCCCTCGGCGAGCAACATGTGAAACACCCTTCTCTCTTTGCTACGGGTTCGAGGCTAAAGCTCCCACAGAGGTGACCCTTCCTACCCGAAGGGTAGCCCAATATGATCCCGAAGTCAATGACGCCAACATGGCCATCGACCTTCACCTCATTTCAGAACGCTGAGAGCAAGCCTTCTTGCGAGCGGAAAACTACCGAAGGAAAGTCAAAACCTACATCAACGCCAAGATCCGCTCTCGAGAATTCCAAGTGGGGGACTACGTCTTACGACGAAGGGAAGCAAGGCAGCCAACCAAGGGAGGCAAAATGGCGCCCAAGTTTGAAGGCCCTTACATTGTGACAGCTATCATCAAACCAGGGACTTACAAACTAAAACGCCCCAATGGAACTGAGGTCCCTCGACATTGGAATGTACACCACCTAGTTAAATTTTATCAGTAGTGTTAGAGCGGCCAAGCCCTCATAATGAATGAATGTATTGTTCTACGGCCCAGGGCCTTCAATTTTTGAAGAATGAAGACATGTTGAAGACATCAAGTATAAGACGTTTATGAGCGGCCAAGCCCTCATACAAGCCCCCGGCCCAAGGCCTTATCACAGGCAAGACCCTTCGGCACCAAGTGCCGAGGGTAGACTGTAACACCCCGGCCCCGTAGGCCCCGAGGTAGTATTTTTGGAGTTCTTGGCTAATGAGCTCTCTTAAAAGGAGATGCACCTTGTTGGTATGAGTAGTACTATTAATCCTCTTAAATTAATCTTGGGTATTACATAGACACCCCAATCACCTGCGATAAATGAAGAAAACACCAAGTGTTTTTAAAGAAGACCCTCGGTACCAAGAGTCGAGGGTACACACTCCTATCAATTCCAAACAGCGGAGGAAAAACACCAAGTGTTTTTAAAGAAGACCCCTCGGTACCAAGTACTGGGGCCATATGCGGAGATAAACACCAAGTGTTATCTTTAAAGCCGTACCCCTCGAGGACGCATTTACACCGAAGGCGCCACCTATCGGTGCCGGCAGCATGTAGTGCCCCCGGCCATTTGCAACCAGTGTGCAAATGAAAACCCTTCCTTGAAACGCTTTCCGCGTCATTACACCAAGGGAATGACAGGCAACTAATATGCCCAGGATTCGACTTTCAAAAACGGAACACTTTCCACGCCATTACCCCAAGGGAATGGCAGGCATCTGATAGACGCCCAGGATTCGACTTCCAAAACGAAACGCTCCCCACGCCATTACCCCAAGGGTATGGCAGGCCACAGACTATGTCTCGCACCGAGGGGACAACTTTCAAAACTGAGGCGCTTTTCGTGCCAACCCCCAAGGGGAGGCAGGCTACAGACTATGTCTTATGCCAAGGAAACGACCCTCGATCCCCTCGGAACTCGAAAGGTTAACCCGAGGGGGGAGCTAATGGTGTAAACTGTTGCCTCCCGATAGGCCAAGCCTTACCAAGAAACCAAGTTTCTTGAAGCCTTCCCTTCGCTACAAAAAAATGGAGTGAAGGGGAGTAGACTCAATGAGCAATCAATGGGTACAACACTCCATGACAGAACGCCCTTCGGCATTACAAGACAATACAGGTCATACCGAGGGCTCCCCCTGGGAACACCTCCGGTACCTGGAAGCTTCTAATTTCCGAAGGCTACTATTCAACAAATGTTACCAAAATGCGGCTAAATCCACAACCGGTTTGCCTCTCGAAGGCTCTACTCCTACAAAGGGTTTGAAGAGATTAAAGTCAAAACGACATCAGTCTCCGAGATTTCTACTAACACCGAAGGCTCCAATCCAACACAAGGGTTAAAGCTTCATAAGTCCAAGCAACAATTGCTCCCGGCATTTCACTAAACACCGAGGGAATACTCCCAAGCATTGCCCGAGGGCATTCGACTTTATCATGCTATGGTTGGACTACAAATTTCCTAAGTCGACACTTTGGGACCTACCAAATCCGAAGGCTCAAGGGAAATACCCACATTACCGGAGGCCAATACTCACAGGTCAAGGGAAATTATTCTAAGTCCACAAAGGTGGATGCCCCCGGGACCACTACCCTTGGCTGAGGAAAACTTTGCCTAAGGCTACTACAAACCGAGGGCACATGTGGCGAAGGCCACCCATTCACACAACAGTTACCCCGAGGGCTTAGTGACAAGCAACACTGGAAAAAATTTCTAAGTCCTAAAGGCCTGGCCCTCGGTCAAATTATTATGCAATCCAGGGGGGCCTAATAACTGAAGGCCACATGGTGCACATCACTTGGAAATACTTTCTAAGTCTTAAAAAGGTTGCCCCTCGGTCAACTCAACATTCAACCGAAGGCTCAGTGGTAACACTACACTTAGAAAGATTTTCTAAGTCCTGGGATGACTGGCCCTCGGTCAACTCAAGATACCACCGAAGGCTCAGTGGTAATACCACATTTGAGAATTTTCTACGTCCTGGACTATTGGCCCCCAGCCACCAACGAGTGAAGACTTAACACTAACACGACAGAAGGCATACGAAAGAGGATGTCAACCGAGGGCAAAAGTTGTGAGCAACACTTAGAAAAATATTTTAAGTCCTAACACTCAGAGGGAAGCATCCACCGAGGGCCCAGTACTGAACAAACACTTTGAAAATTTTCCTAAGTCCTAAATGGCTGACAACTCAAACATCCAAATACGAAGGTAGTCATCCACAAGAAAAATACGGAGGCATTCATTCACGACAACAAAAGACGACATACATTCATGTATGAAGGAAAACAAAGCAGACAAGGAAAGAAGGGAATGCATTCATTCATCCGAAGGACAGAAAGTAATAATATTAATGGGCCCGAAAGCAGGCATACGTTCACGAAACGAAGAGTAAATTGTGTGACCAGGCTGAAGCCGAAAGCTACAAGATGTTTTTTACATTACATGATTCGAAAAATGTCTAAGTACAAATCAATAATCAGCAGCTGCAGCATCACCCCCTTCAGCAGCTTTGGAGGTGGCATCGCCTTCGGCCTCATCTTCATCACCACCGAGGCCACATTCCCTCAGGGTCTCAGAATCTTCTAGCACCGGCCTCTCTTCACCTTCGGGGAGGGGGACCCTGACGTCTGGCTGCCGAGGGGAAGGCCATTGGTCTCCGGCTTGAAGTCCATCGAGGACACGTTGAAGTGCTGGGCCAGCTTCCGGTAGATGAGACGTTGAGTGAAGAACTCCCCGCCCTGGTAGTAATAGTCGCCCCTCTCCGCTAGCCACATCTTGTCGGGACCTCCGACCCAGGCATCTACCTTCTTCTCCACAACCGAGGACACCCAGTCTTCCTTGTCCTCGGCCATCCAGCCCCCGGTCATGAATGCCTCCACAACAGCTTTCTCATCCTTGGCCACCTCCTCGGCCTTTGCCCTCTCAGCCTCCTAGGCAGCAACACGGGCGGCCTCAGCAGGTGCTTCCCCAGCCTCAGCCAGGCCCTCGCTCTTGCCTTCGGCCTCTGCAGCCAACACCCGCTGCTCCATGCTCTCGGTCGCCAGGCGAAGAGACTCATCGGCATCAGCCAACTTCTTTCTCAGGCTAGCAGCTTCCTCCTCAGCAGCGCCCCTGGCCTCCACCATATGATCGACCCTCCGGAGATACTCACACAGTCCCATGAAGGCCTGCAGCAGTACAAGTGTAATGGGTCAGACACAGTACATACATTACCCCCCGTAAGCAAAATGAACATGATAGGGAAAGGCAACTCACCGAGGCGCTATTCTGAAGGATCCTCGACTGGAGGCCCTCATCATTCATCCAACGAGAGCCAGCCTGTCAGCCGAAGGCACCATTTGGCTCATTAGTGCCGAAGGCACGAGGTTACCCTCCAAGATCGAGGCCCCCTTCGGCACAATTGCCTCCAGCTTCTCCCGGCCGAAAAAGTATTGGTGGGCACACTCCTGAGGGATGGGACCGGAGGCATGCCCCTCGTCCACGATGATGACGATGTCAGAGGCCGGCTCTTTGCCAGAGGTCACAGCCTTTAACTTCTTGGTCGGGGGCTCAATCCTCTTACCGCCATTCTTTTTCTTTAGGGCCCCCTCGCCCTTGGAACTTCCGGTACCAGCACCGGCGGCAGCAGTTTGGGAGGGCTCCTTCCTAGCGGAAGCACCCACTGGCTTCGGACCCACATGACCCTTCTTCTTACCTTTCATATTCTTCAGGGTGAAAAGGGAGCTCACGTCCATATTTTTGCCTGCAAAGACAAGACACAAAATGATTAGGCCGAAGGGGATCAACTACAGTGACATGGATTGAACACAAAAAAAAGAAAGGAAAAAATTCTCCAAGTACATAACGTGTAACCCTTCGGTAATCACCTCTGATACTCTCAAATACACGATCTATCGGAGGGTATCTTTCATCCTCCGAGCCCCTCGGCCTATACTACCGAAAGCCAAGCTTGAACAAATCATCCGGAAGGGTAACATCTTTGATCTTCACATGCATCTCGGACCCCTCCGGCTTCTTGGCGAGTATCTTTCCGTTCTTCTCGAGGGCTGCATTCCCCACCTTCGGATGCCGACGAAAGTTGTTACGAAGTGGGGCCAGGAATGGGTTCTCCTCCGGTCGAAGGTAGCAAAACTTGTCCTTCCATCCCTTGTGGGATGAAGGCACATCATCAAAAAGTCTAAACTCAGGGACTTGCTGTAAGTTGGAGAAGCCCCCAGCATTCGAATGCCCCCCCCCCGGCATAGGTTGAATGACAGGAAGAACTGGTCCAAGGTTGGTGGCACCCCCGGCTCTGGCACAAGGAAAGAAAGCCGGCTATGTAGGAGTGGCTGTTGGGCGTCAATTGGCGGGGAGCCAGCCCCACAAACCTCAAGTACTCCAACATGAAGGGATGTAATGGAAATCGGAGCCCCATCTCCACTGACAAAATGTGGGCAGCAAAGTAGCCCTCGAGTGCGTGCAGCAACAAGTCGTCTGACCCCGGTTCCACTACACGCGCTGAAGGACCAACGAGAAGCTGGGTAGCCTAGTACTCTGCAGGGGAGGCCCTCGTCTTCAGCTCCAGGGCAGCAATGTCCAAATAAGAATGGCCTTCGGGTATACCCAACGGCTGCCCAACATCAACAACAGCCTGCTTCTTCTTCTTAGGGCGACCTTCGTTTTCTTTTTCTTCCCGGGGGCTACTCGGAAAGGCGTTGGGTTTAGAGGCCTGGAACTACTCGCCTCGTCGGCGTCACGTGGGGGGAGGATGGTGACGGTAACTTGCATCCTTTCTCTCTCCTCCTCCTCCTCGGCGGTCTGCATCGCGACGGCCATCTCCTCGTCCTCCTCTACCTGCTCAAAATCTTCAGCTTCGACTTCGGCAACGAGGTCTTTTTGCACTTCCATGGCTACGACGGCATCACCGCTTACCGAAGGCTGTCCACTGGAAGATTCCACGTCTGAGATGCTTTCCACCTCTACCGAGTCCTCGCTCCAGATGTCTTGGGAATCACTAGCTGACGACATGATTTCGCAAAATTGTCCGAGGGGTACAGGTGACGAGAGTCCTAAGGCTATAACACTTAATCTAAGGCCACAAAGCTAAACTTACTAATATGGCAAGGAACGGGTGAAGAACTGACCTCAGAGAGAATAATTTGATCGAAGGCGGGTGTTTCTCTCTCTAGAAATATTTTGCCAGAGCTTCGCTACAATGATCGCACAAGAAGAATGACCATGGACATGGGGTATTTATAGCCTCCCAACTCCGGGTTTGGGCCAAGAAACCGGGCCCCCGAGAGAAAAATCATCATTACACGCCGCCCCTTCCGCCAACCGGTGACGCCCGCCCGCAGTCAGTCAACGGGTGCACACCACGTGGACGTCACCTCCAACGGCTATATTCCGACGATCCATATTCCAACGGTCATATCTCAACGGCTCTATTTCGCAGGCTAAGGTGCCCTCAGCTGGCACCTATCAAACAACACTACGCATGCCTTCGGACTTCCTCCTTCGGACTCCTTCATCAAAGGGAGCACACGGCTTAACAACGGGAAAACCCCCCAGGACCCCTCAGCCCTCAACATGCCGAGAACCAGGGAACCCCCAGGGGTCACGCCTTCAAATAACAGGGAACCCCTCGGAACACAGGGACAATCACTGGCATTCATCAACAACGATCACGCCTTCAGCCTCATTGACTGGGGGACTACCCTCGGCAGTCCCCGGGATGCTCGCTCATGCTTATCAACTACAGACGCCTTCAGAGGAATGCTCCCAGCAGACCCTCCGGGATATCAACAAAGCCCCTTCGGCAACTCCATAGACACACCCTCAGATGAAGGGTAGCCTTCGGCATCAACTTTGTCCTTCATCTCGGACCAAGGTTTCACCTTTTCGATTCATCATTGGGGGAATTCGGTGCACTCTTTTTCCCTCATTAGGATTTTTTCCCGCAGGGTTTTTCCTAATGAGGTTTTAACGAGGCATCCCCCCAAAATGAAACGAAAAGTGTCAAACTTCGGCCCCGTGCAACAGCAGGCACCACTCTACTCCTTTTCACCACCTTACAAGTGCTTCAAGGAGTGGGGGACTGGAGACCCCCCCCCCCCCCCAGGAAAATCACAAAAGGTGAAATGTCAAAAAACTCCCCAAAGAAACATAATCCCTCAAGTCCCAAAATGTGGGGGACTAAGGAACTGCCCTTGGCAAACAATGCAGACGAAGAACTCCTCACAACTCCACAAACTACAAGGCAAAACACTAGCATCAGAGGACAAACACATTTACTCCTTTTCCCTCAAGTACCTTTCGACAAAAGGAGTGAGGGACTCCTGATGGAGTATATGGCCCAGGGACCCCCGGCCCATAGACTCCCATTACTATAACAAAGGCCCAACAGGCCCAGGAAGCACAACAGGCCCAAATTACAACGTCCTGAGTAACAGGAAGCCGACGGTGCATATAGGCATGCCTTCGATCCCAAGACCGAAGGCTCCAGATTCTCACAGAGCAGACGATTTACACATGCGGGACTACTGGGAGAAAACGGCGAAAACAGCAGCCCTCGGCACCTAGAGCCCTCGGCACCTAGAGGCCCCCGGTACGAAGAGCCTTCGGCTAATCATATACAGCCGAAGGCACCTTCCTCGATAGAATCTCCTCTCCACATGCGCCTAGATCGCCGTACCAAGTAAAAACGTCACATCCAACCGCCGCATTTAATGCGGCCACATGGGATTGCCAGTGCCACCCCGATTGACGTGACCCTCGGCCGTCGGATGCTTGACACGTGTCCTCGTCTCGCATTTATTGCTGCTATAAATAGAACCCCATTTACCCTTTGTAAGACACGCAAAAATTCATATCGAATATACACTTTATCTCTCTCACTATTGCTCTGACTTCTCTCTAAGGTGAGTGGATGACTTAATGTCTTGTAACTTTTGGGTTAAGCATGAGATTACCTAAGTAAATGTTATATATGTGTTCATAATAATGTTTAAATGAGATTAAACATGTGATTAGCCAAAGTGATTAGGCTTGTATGAAATGAACTATTGAGATATGCATGAATTACGATATGAAAACGTTTATAAAAACATATGTGACATGTTTCGAGATAAATGGTGCATACTATGGTTGTTTACAACTTAATACATGTTGTAATTAAGTTTGACATTTTATGGATTTGAAATAACGGGTCAACCGAGGGTTGACCGGTTGTCCAAGGGCAACTGGCGCCAGTCATGCATAGAACCGGCGCCGGTTCGAGCAGGTTTAGCCCGGCTCATACTAATTGACTATGAATCGGCACCGGTCAGATTTGAACCGGCACCGGTTTGGCCTTATATTGCCCATACGTTGATTTTAAATGCATGAATTGCATGGATAATTTGCTTAGGCCTTAATACTTGGTTTAGTCTTGTTTATAGATTATGATAGAGACCCTATCTAGTCTGATATGTGGTAGATCATTGGTCGGGTGGAGTACCCAAGGATCGGGCGGTATCCTCAAAACTCGGTTATGTCGGGTAGAGTACCCAAGGATCGGGAGGTATCCTCAAAACTCGGTTGTGTCGAGTGGAGTACCCAAGGATCGGGAGGTGTCCTCAAAACTCGGTTATATCGGGTGGAGTACCCAAGGATCGGGCGGTATCCTCAAAACTCGGTTATATAGGGTGGAGTACCCAAGGATCGGGAGGTATCCTCAAAACTCATAGATTACTATTTAGTAATTCAGGACCGAGCGGTGTCCTTGTGATTATTTGATTTGGACAGGAGGATTCCTATACACTCATAGGTCTATGGGTGGATTGAGGTTTTAAGTCAAGGACATTGACTACTACTATTTTTTCCAAATAAACAACGACCTACGGGTCAGGTATTTCCAAGTTTATATAAGTACTGGTATGTATTTTTGTAACTTGGGAAAAAAATGTATAAGTATATGTATCACCCTATGTTTGGGTCTTATACTTGAAACGTTATTTACTCTACATTTAGCTTGCTACTCGCTCGGTACTTGTACTGACCCCTTCAGGAGGCCCCACCATTTCAGGTTGAAGCTAGAGCTTGTTGTCTACACCTTTGCACGGGTGAAAAGAATCTAGAGGAAGACGTGGTTCGTGCTTCCTTTACTGTTTAAAATCATAAACTATGCTCATGGATACTTTTGTAATATTACTTTGTTTTGGCCTGTGAGCCTACGTTTTACCATATGTGGCTTATGACTGACCGATGAATATTTCCGCTATTCATTCAATCTATGATGTGATGTTGTTATGTATGTTTACTTACTGAGTATGGTATGGACGATGTTCATGAACGCCTAGTGGGATTAAGTGAGGTTGACTTGCGAGTGACGTCACTTGATCACACGGCGGTTGTACACGTGCTTGGATGCGATCCGGGGCGTGACAGTTTTCTCGCACTTAAAATATGTAGTAGTAAAGGGTAAAAGTACGAGTATGTCTCCACATGGACGAGAAAAAGGGAATCATGAATTAACTAAATTCAGTGATTAAAAGAAATAAAAATAAAAAGCAATTATGCGAGATTTGATTGGTTGGAAAATTAAAATGTGACTAAACGATCAAATTAAAATGATGGAAGGGAACATGGATTGATTCCTGGGTAATCAGATTTCTGACTGATCAGACTTAATCACATGAAAATTATCTAAATGAGCAACACTAATCAATACTAAGTTCTTACCGCTCTCGCGGCGTAGAGTATAATAGTTTAGAAAACCAGGTTGATCTCTCATGCGACATATTTCTAAATTATTGCAAAAACGAGCGAGCGTACGACCCCTTAACCGTTACTAATCTCTTAGCGAACAATTAAGTGTGTGTGAAAGTGTCCTAGAATAAATTGGACCTCTCTTTATTTATTCTATGTGCAATTATAATCCTAGATGCAGTTCTAGATTACAAGAGATATCAATTAAATCATTCAAACACAAATAAAATAAAATTCATGCAATTAATGCATCATGAGAATAGGCCTACATCATAATTAACCCCTTCATCAATCTCAAATTCCTAATTAAAACTACTCACAATTTATAATTGAATCAACAATAGAATTGGGATGAAAAGAATTAATTGTCATTAATTTAAAAGTTGGAACTTACCAATAATCCCAGGGTCTTGAAGAACAAAGTGGAAAACTACAAATAAACTCGTCTCAGGCCTCTCTCTAAGCTCCGTTCCTCGAAAACAGGGGTTTAGGGGCTTTATTTATAGAAAACGGAGGAATTCTGATCAAATTAGGAAGGGAAAACTGTCAAATAGGTCCTCGAACTTTCATAAAAAAGTCAATTAAGTCCTTCTATAGGAGACTCTGTCCGGTCATCGCAATTTGGGGCAGTTCCCGGTGAAATTTTTTGATGAATTTTTCTGAGCATCTTATTCATCAAGTCTAGTTTACTCATACCAAATTTCAGCTAAAAATTTAATCGGGAGCGCATTCAAATTAATTCGAGAATGCAAAAATGCGCAGTTATGTTCAAGAGTTAATTTGAATGTGTTCTCGGTTGAATTTTTAGCTGAAATTTGGTATGAGTAAACTAGACTTGGTGAATAAGATGCTCAAAAAATTTCATCAAAACATTCCACCGGGAATTGCCCCAAATCGCGACGGTCGGACAGAACCTCCTATAGAAGGACTTAATTGACCTTTTTATGAAAGTTGGAGGACCTATTTGACAGTTTTCCCAATTAGGAAATCTGGGAGCATGCTCGGCGCCCACGCTCGGCGTGCGTGGCGTCCGAGCGTTCGGAACATAAAGCGCATCTCAGTACCGTGCACGGCGAGCGTCCCTGCCACGCTCGCGTGCGTGACTGGCAGTGAGTTTTCGTCGTTTCTCGCTCCTCGCGCTTGGCGTGCTTCCCAGCCACGCTCGACGTGCGCGGGTTTGTCCTTCACCTTTAAGCCTTCTACCACACATGCTCGGCCCGCATCCCAGCTACGCTTGGCGTGCATGGCTTTTCTTCTTCGTTTTCTTCCGTTACATTCTCTAAATGCTCCCGTTCGTTTCCGTGATCAATCCTAAGGCTCTTTTGTTGTCAAATCTTCATCGTAAACCTCCCGATGACTTCCAAAGTTCTCAATTCACTCTCAAATGCATCTGGACTCATCCTGATTGCTTTTCAAACACCGGTGCCGGAATTAAATTCCCCGATTTTGACTCCAAAAATACCAAAACGAACAAAGCTACTCATTTTGGCAAGGAAAACCATTAAAAGCTACTCAAATCAAATACTCTTCCGCTTAGCCAAGTCCATAAGAGAAGAAAGGGGTTATGTCCCTTAACCAGTTCGGTTGCCTGATGTATGCTCCAGCACCTCCAACGCATCAACTTCCACCTGAAAACCAACGTAGCAGGTGTCGGTAGCCCATCGAACAGCAGTAACCAGAGCGATGAATTCAGCTACTAGACTCGAAGAAACATTCAGAAGGAACTAAATCGCGAAGACGAGTTCTGCCCTTTCATTTCGCATCATCGCACCTCGAGAGGCCTTCTTAGGTAAGAACGAGGCATCAATATTCAATTTCAATTTACCTTTAGGTTTATTCCAACGAATTGGTTTGAACAATCTATTGTTCAGACAGAATGAAGGGGGCATCAAATTTTCTTGGAATAGAATTTCCCCCAGTAGAACATAGTTTCATACCAGAAAGACTTAGGGCCCAAGTCTGAGTGTATAATTTAATTTGCCAAATAATATTGTCAGAGGAAGGAATAGAGGTCGCACTGCCCCAAACCAAATTCGTATAGATCTTCCACAAGTTCCAGCAAATGATACCAGGAAGGTTATGTTTAAAAATGCCAATCATAGTCTTGCTACCTGCTTGAAGCCACCATTGAAAACATACCTGCCTGATAGATTAGCGAGCCTGATGTAAACTAATTCCCAAAATCTTCGAAACGTAATTCCAGATGGGTGCAATGGTAGGACACTGATAAAAGAGATGGTTCAAAGTCTCAGAATGGCCATTACACCAAGGAAAAATAGATTGATTTAGAATCAGGTTGAATCTAGTAAGATGTCTCTGATTGGAAGTAGCTTATTGAGTAGTTTCCATTGAAACAGTTGGACTTTTAACTTTTTCCTTGGATGCAAAATGTGTTTGTTTACAAAAGATGAAGCTTCATTTTGCCTAACAACATTGTATGCTGGCTTGAAAGAAAACTCTCCATTACTTTCTGGGATCCAGATCAAGTTGTTAGAGGAGCCCTGCTCACAAAATGTAGATGCCAAGTCATTCATGTGACAGATTCTTCACCAAATAGGAGAGTCTGTTACCTTTGGAATAAAGTTGCCTTCTCTTGGATACCTCGCTGTGATGAACTGAGCCCACAAGTTGGAAGATGTCTTCCACTTCTACCACAATTTCAAGGTAAATGCTTTTTCAACCTGTAATAAGCTTCTAATTCCAAGGACCCCTTCCCTGTTGGTAAGCATAGAAGAGACCATTTTCTCCAGTGGTACTTCAGCTTATTATTTGATGCTCCCCATAAGAAATTTGCCATCTTGTGCTCTAATACAGTTATACAGATATAACCTTTCTTGGCAAAGTGTCTGCAACAAGAATATGCATGGGAATGGAGCTCAAGACATGCTTTATCAAGATAAGTCTTCCCCCCTGTGTCAACATTTTTTGTTTCCAAGGAGATAACTTGGAATTAAACTGTTTAATTACTAAGATACACCAGTACTGCTTTTACGTTTTTATAGAGCATCTTGCCCCAAACAACTTCAATTTGACAATCTTAGCTTTAGGAAATGAAAGTTTCAACTAATTAAATAATCAGAAAGTATATTTTTTAACATAGTAAACCTTGAAATAATATGTACTGCAAGTAACTAATATCGAGGTCAAGATCTTATTTATAATTTAGAATAGTGCAGTTATAACCATGTTAGATAACTTCACTCTTGACTAGAAGCAGCAAGTCGAATGTTATAGATAAAGGTGAAGTAAAGACAGTTTAATATGGGGGACTGGGGGTGAGAGTCTATTATCATATCATAATCAAAATACATGATCAAACAACATGCCAAGGTAGACTTTCACTTTTTTATACACGTAGTATAACTTTTATGATGTATTTTCTTGTTTGAAGGAACAACTCATGAACTGAGCATCTACCTGCCTTGAAGCCTGCGGCATCACCAACGACCTATTGGAGCAGCTGTCCCGACCTAAGTTTGATGTTTGTTAATCAATTTCTAGGAAGAGGACGCGTTGTTTGATTTTTCTGAAAAAAAGTGTTGCCTGTGGAGTTGCCCACAACGGAAATTGGATGTTGGTCCTTCTAATTTGTGAAGCAAACCGATCTAAATTGATGTATCGCTGCAATAGCTTTAAATCTTCTTAATCAAATTTATATCTTATTTTAATTCAGTTTTTGGTTGAATAGAACTAGTCGAGTAGGTCCTAAGAATGTAAAGTTCAAATAACTAAAACTAATTGGCATTATCATCAATTAAGTCTCAGTAATATAATATCACTACATTAATATGAAATGGATGTAGTATGTCAGAGAAACATGTTATACCATAAAGATGCATGTACCATAGTTATATTACCCGGTGCTGCATTGGAAAAAAATCTCTGTTCAAAAGTCAAAACACATTTAGAATCCAATATTCAGTGTATTCGGATTTTAAACTTAAAGAACATTATACAATACTAAATTACTAATGTTTAATTTCGGTTTACATGATTCATTCCCTATTTCAGATTTCTAAAGTACCACACAAGGCTATAGTATCAAATAATAAAATTTTAGATGCAATGCTCCACTTTACAACTGCAAAAATATACGAAGTAATTTAAAAATGCACTAAATCCCTTTTTGAGATGTACATTTATTACCTTTCGTTGTACGGGCTTCTCCTGATTGTTGTACCTAAGCATTCCAACCACCAAGGTGTTTTGACAACTCAAATATCGTTCAATCTAGGGTTGGATTCGGTTCGGGCCACCCGGCCCGTGACCCGGCCCGGCCCGTGACCCGGCCCGGCCCGGTACTGTGCGGGCCCGGGACCGGCCCGGTCGGGCGGTCCGGGACCGGGTATGGGCCCGAACCGGGGGGAAGGGGCGGGGCGGGCTCGGTTCAGCATTTTTGTGACCCGGCCCGGCTGGGTCGGGCCCGGGCCCGGGTCCGGGTCTATTTTAAAAAAAAAACTTTTTTTTTGTTTTTTGGCTACTAGCCGTTGAGGCCTTGGGGGTGGGGTAAAGGGGGGGTCCGGGGGGGTGGGGGGGGGGGTGGGGGTGGTGGGGGGTAAAAAAACCTATAAATACTCCTACACTTAAACATTTTTTCATATCTCTTCTCCAATTCTTCCTAAATCCTATTCTTAACTCTCTACTCTCTAATTCTCTTATTCTCCAATATATTATATATCTACTCTCTAATTCTCTTCTCCAAGAAGTTAAGATGGAAAATCAAAATGCCATTATACGGTATAATTTTGATAAGCAGAAGGACCCGAAGACCGGGATGTAATACGCAATTTGCAAATGGTGCGAAAAAAAATGTATCATGGGGGCTTCAGGCGGATTCGGGATGGCAATCAAGCATATGAAGTCATGTGAGAAAGCCAAAGGATCGGGAGGTGCGGGAAGTTCCGATTGATTACAATTTGCAAAATGTTTATCTCTTAAAGTTTGTTTTAATTTTCAAATGTAGTTCCTATTTCATTTCAAATAAATGCAATTGAAGTTTGTTTTTAATACTCGTATAAAACTATAAAATATATATATATAAATTATAAAAAAAAATTAACCGGCCCGAACCGGACCCGACCCGTGACCAGGGCGGGTGGCCCGGCCCGAACCGGACCCGTCCAACCCTCGGGCCGGTCCCGGGCCCACTTTTCTTGAACCGGCGGCCCGACCGGGCCCGAATCCATCCCTAGTTCAATCCGGAAGCCATTTTCGAGCAAGGTGAATATTCTGAAATTTCAATATGTTTAAAAGATATTGGTCACATGATTTGAGGCTCCACAGTCAAGCAATCATCCATTTCTATTGGTCACCATAGTATTGGCTTGAGGAGGGTAATTTTGTTGTTCAAATCAGTGTCAATAGTTAAGAGAGAGATGATTGGGTTTGCTACAAATTTGACATATAATTGTACCTCTAGAATTATTATTGCTCCTGAACTTGTTTCTGCCTCCCATATTATTACCTCCGGGTTTTTTTTTCCCACGTCGATTCGGGTTGTGGAAATTATTGGGTCCTGATATGCACTAATTAGTAGTGCATAAATGTATGTTTTTATGTTTGATTTGTGTGGATTGTTTACCATTTTATTTAGTTTGTAAACATTTGTGTGATTTTAGTTGTAATTGTATTTTAGTCCTCATTTGTAAGTTGTAAAGTATAGTTAGGATTTATGGTGTTGAAAAGGAAGACTTTGAAGTGAAGAAAAAGGAAATTTGAAACTGTCCAGGAGTTAATACCCGACCGGGTATAACCCTTCACCCGGTCGGATAAGAAGTGAGAACCGAACATACAAGGAAGTTGCATGGCCCGGTCGGGCCCACTACCTCACCCGGTCGGGTGAGAAGTGACCGGGGGCAATCCGGCGTGCAGAAACACAAGAACATGGTGGATGATCTGATTTGACCAGTACCCAGTCGGGTGGGCACCATACCCGGTTGGATACCGAGCCAAAGGTGTTGAAAAACACCTATAAATAGCACACATTTTCTTCGTTAATTCCCATCCCTTCTTCCATATACTTAAGCTCAGTTTAGAATAGCATTTCTTTATATTTTTCTAGCTATGTTTAGTCTCCAAATGAGGAGCTAAACTTTCATTTCTTGGTTTTGCTATTGAAGCTTGTTGATTATTAAAGTTGTGAGTTATTTTCTTAACTTCTCTCATTGAATATTAATTCTTCCCTTAATCTCATTCTATATTAATGTCGGGGTGTTGCTAAGTGACGATTAGTTAACACTTTGACATTAATTATTACTAGAAACGATCAATGAACCGATGGTTAATCGTTGATGGTTTCACAAGTAAGTAACTTCGATTTATTAATGCACGGTCATGGTTAATAGACTTAAGAGAGATTAATTTTGTTGGTTAAACCGAAACCATTGTGTTGAGGTTATCAATCTCAATTGATTTCATCAAGGAGTTAGAAAGATTAAATGCTACTATTAATAAATCGGTATAAGGCGTTGTTCTATACGTAGTATTTGATTAATAGTAAGGGTTATTAATAAACGTCCGTTGTTAATAACTACCCTCGATGAATTGGTTATACTCCTCGATTGAGTATTTGAGAGGGGATAAGTTATAGATATAACAAGGATCGACTAAATATATCAACAAGTGGAAAGTAGCAAAACCAAGTCTTTTATCATCATTAATTAAAATCATTAAGTCATTTATCTTTGTATTAAATTAATTAAATCAATCAATCCCAAAACCCCCCTTTATTTACTAGTTCATAAAAAGAGAAAATGCTACTTCACCCATACTACGTATGAGTGTTAGTATCGATTTATTTTGACGCACCCTGACAAAGTGCTCGTCATGAATACTCTGAAATTTCAAGATGTTTAAAAGATAGAAAACAAAAGTTAATTAGGTCTTCGGATTACTCAAATCATAATCAAGTTGATACGTTGGGCAGCAATCTTGATTTGAATGAACTGTTATTTTTATTAATCAGCTTTAGGAGTGAAGAATTTGTTATAATCAGACTGAAAATTGACTAAATTCAGATAATCACCTCCAGATAACCTTGGCGTCGAACGCGTTGGTGGAACCTGCAGATGAGGCGGTGAAATTTCATTCCGGATACCACCTGCTTCTCCTTGAGCAGCCTTTATTGCCTTCGTCGCTGGAGTTTTTAGGTGGAGAAGAAGAGAATGGGGAGAAACTGAGAGAAACGGAGAGATGTGGTGGTTTTCTTATGCCGTTGAAGCTGGAGTTTTAGGCGGAGAAGAAAACAACAGGGAGAAGTAGAAAGAAGCAGTAGAAATGTTAAGAGAAGGGCGTGGATAATGAGCGAAAAAAAATAAGATAAACGGTGATTGATTTATGCTGGATTAAAGGCTAAGATTTATTTGTATTGCTATTAAGTATTGATGATTGATGATTGATTGATGATGATTGATGATGATTGAAGAAGATTGTACATTATAATCTAGTATTATGTGAAAAGTTCCAATTCCTTCGTTATTTGAAAAATGCATCAAAGTCGTCATCATATCTTGTGCACATAACACATTTTAGTAACCAATTTCAAATTAGTGACAACACTTATTATAGTGTTATGGTTACCATGTTCATAAATCTCTCAAAATATCAAAACTATACTTTCTTTGTTCCTTTCTAGTTTTTCATATTTGACCTTTTCGGTTGAAGGTGCTAAACTTTGACCGATAAAATATTTATAATATATTTATACATAAAATATTTATAATATGAAAAATTTCTTTGTTTAAAAATACTATCCTAAAAGTATAACATTTATAAATTTCTTAAAATTGTAACTTTTCCTGTCAATAATGGCTCACTAAAAAGGGACGAAGGAACTACAAAAAACTAAGCATTTTATTTACTTAACAATTAAGTCTACTCTTCCAAGGAGATATGTGCATTATTAATAGAATCATTCTTGTTGTACCTACCCTTATACCCACCTTATACCCACCATATCTGTGAAGTTTTTTTGTCCGTGAATCTGGTTCACAGGAAAAATATGTCTTATTTTTGTCTGTGCAAAATTTGCACAAACATATTGTCTGTGAACAAGATTCACTGACAAAAAAAAGCTTTGCACAAACATGGTGGGTAAAAAATTGGGTATAAGGGTGGGTACAAGTAGTTTTTTATTATTCATAAGGATAACATACTGGGATAAACACAGAATACTAGTAATTCTCTCTAGGGTTTCGACCGCTAGAGTCGTTTCTTCTGTATTCGACAAAGTCAAAGTACGGCCGGCGTTTTGCTCTTGGTAAATCGGGTGGGCTGGTCTTCAGGGGTTGCTTATCCAGCACGCGAAGAAGAGGGCTTCGAAGGCTCGGTCGTTTGACTCCTCTTCAACGGCTTTGGTTCGGTTGGGAGGCGGAGAGAGCGACGCAGTTCAAAGGATTTGGATGGATGATATTGTGAATCACTACAAGAAGATGACTATTGGAGAGGAGGATAGCAAACTGAATTTCGATGTCGAGGGAGGCGAGGAGTTTGCTGCAGCCGAGAAGAGAGCCGAATTCCCGGTGGTTGGAGTCATTCTCACGGACCGAAAAAATCAAGTTTCAAGTTTTCAAAGATCTTTTGGCTTCTATTTGGCGTCCGGGTAAAGGGGTATCCATCAGAGAGATAGGCGATAAAAGGTATATGTTTACTTTTTACCATATTGTGGATATGAATCGTGTTCTTGAGGATGACCCTTGGTTGTTTGAAAGAAATTTACTACTCCTTAAAGAAGTTAGGTCAGATGATATACTACATAAAATGAAATTTTGTGAGGCAGAGTTCTGGGTACAAGTTCATAACGTACCATACTACCATATAGTTTCATGAATTTTGAAACTGCTAGGAGGATTGGAAACTATATTGGCAAGTTTATTAGTTTTGATGAGAGCCAGTTTGAAGAAAATTTAGGGTGAGTATGGATGTTGAGAAGCCTCTAAAAAAGGATCTACCCTCAAGAAAAGAGGCACTGGGTAGATTTCAAATATGAAAAGCTCCCTAATTTTTGCTCTACTTGTGGGGTGATAGCGTCTTAAATATGAGGAATGCATAGTGTTGGAAAAAACATTTGCGCTAGAACTTTGAGCTGGTTGAGGGGGGAGACTAATCCAACAAGAGGTAATAAGTGGTTAGTGGAAAATTCCTCAAGCTCATGGGTTGCTAGACAACAGAGGAAAGCAGATCAAGAGGGTGAAAGGCCAGGGGGACAGGGTTGACGTGAGTCCACAACAGGTACAGGTAATCGTGTTACCAAAGAAGGAGACATAGGCAGTACTGAGGAGGTGCTGGGGGATCAAAAACGCAAAAAGATTTGGCGAGAGTATGTCTCTAGACAAACCAAAAAATGGGGAGGAAGCAAGTCAGGGCTTCTATATCCATCGGACGTGCGACTGGTGATCCCACTCAAGAGGACAAGTTATGGTGTTTATTTTTTTGTTGCTTTGCATTTTAAATTCCATGTTAAGACTGAGGTTCTTTACTTTTATTTCATTTTATGCTGTAAGACTCTTGCATTAAATTTTGGTGATGAGAGGTCTGCGGTTACTGTCTTTGGCTCAATTATGCCCAAGTTAGGATCTGTGAGTTATATTATTTTGTTTAAGCGATTAACTCTGAATCTGGTTCAAGGGCTGATGGCTACGTACATGTCGTTCTTTTGTTGTTTTAACCCTATCTAAATAATGTGATATCAATCTAAGCCATTTTTTGCAAAAAAAATAAGGATAAAACAATTAAGGTTAGTACGCACATATACTACGTACTTCGTATATCACAAGCAAGTTGAAAAATTAAACTCTTTTCTGGTGTAAACTCTAGATCGGATCCATTAAAGTAAAATACTAGAATAAGGGATTAGTAGTAATATACTACATATAATGCATTATATAACTTATTTGCAATTTTGATGTTGTAACTTTCTGTGGTGTCCGTTATGAGTTTTATACTCTGTAATTTTACTCAGTCGTAAATATGGTCTCGTAACTTATAAATGTATTCACTTTAACGACTTTTTCACTAGAGAGTCCATAAAATACAGTTTCTAGAAAAAACAAATGAGAAAAGACAACCAAAAGTCCAAAAGTTGGGGTTTAGGGAATAAGATAGATGGGAGAAGACATGGCCTGTTGGATCTTAATTGCTACGCGGCGCGCGCAGCCCGCAGCAATGAGCGAAAGGGAGGCCGAGAAAAGGTGCCATTAAGAAGCTTATCTGCAACAGCATTGTACATTGCTTCGGTGAGATGAACGCCATCCCAGTTAATGTACTGAGAGGGGTCCGGACAGGATGTTGCGGCGGCAGGAGAGCCGCAAGTGGTGAAAACGTCGAAGTTCAAGACGGCGTCCCCAGAGCCGCAGCAGGCTCTGTAGAGCTGGGTGATGCCGTAGCGTTTGGCGTTGGTGAGGACGGACTTGTAGGCATTCCAGTAGTCGGCATACACAATGGTGGCCTGCGGGAAGCGGCGGCGGAGGATGTCGAGATTGGACTGGAGAATGGCGTTATGGGCGTAGCTTTGGTGGTTGGAGGAGGCTACGCAGCCCATGGCGTCTCTGTCGTCCGGTGGGGCCAAGTAGAGGGCCAGCGTCAAGCAGCCCGTCGTGGGTAGCCCTTGTACCACCATCTTCTTTGCACCCTTGTGCAGCATTGCCTGTATGAAGGTGGTAAGAGTGGAGACGGCAAGACGCTGAATAGTTTTGGCAGGAACGTTTGATCCGAGGGTGTATGCATAATCGTTGGCCCCAATCTCACCGACCCAGAACAGGGCGTCTTCAAAAACCGCCCCACACTGCTTTGGTGTTGATTTGTAGTCTCTGCACCCCACACTTTCCAAGTAGCTATTGAACCATGTCAGCTGCGTTTTCAGTGATTGAGGGGTAATGTCTAGGCTCAGGTTGTTCTCCACGAAGAACCTGCAGATGCATGCATGCATATGTCATCATATTAATATATACTATCCTCCGTATCTCATTAATTGCAACATTGGAATATATAGACTATTCATGTACTTTACTTTGACTACATTTTATTTATTAATGTATGTGAATTAATTTTTTTGAAAAATGTTGTTAAATTCGTCTCATTACTAAGTTTTATAATCTAATTTTTATTTTATTTTTACTAATACATAATTAAATATAATGACGGTCAAAGTTGTGTATTTGAAAACGTGAAATGTTGACTGTTGCAACTAAAAAGAGACGGAGGAAGTATATGATGTGACTACTCTCATCTAGCTAGCTAGCTACCCATAAAATTAAACTCTAACATCCCAAAGGATACCTAATCCTAGTACGTAGTGTCTATCTCAGATTTCATGTGCTTTTTTATGGGGCTCTGTTTCACACTTATACATCCTCATCAAATTGTTGAACTCATCATGGAAGTCAGTTGTTATAGAACTTGATACGTGACAATCTCACTACACGTTCAATTGAGTATTATGAGCCTAACAATGAGATCGTGTTCTCTACTTCATATCTTCTAATTCATTTTCTTTTCCTTATTTTTTCTTTTCTAAAAACTTGTTAAATTATAAATTTATAATCAACTTATATGAACTTTAATATGTGAATCTAATGTAATATGGTACTTTTCACATATGCATTGATATGAAATTTTAATAATGAACATAACGTGAGTACTAATCGAGCATACGTAACTTACAAAATGGGGATTGATATCAAAATAATAAGTTTTTTTAGTTGAGCATCAAGACATTTTCATTGAACATCAAACCTCCTCTATTGAGTATTAAAAACATGCAATTGAGTATCATGGATTTTGCTCTCGTATTTGTAGTCAACTTATACGTGAATCTAGTGTAATATAATACTTTTGAAATATGCATTGAAATAACATTTTACAATGAACATAACACCCGTACCAAATGAGCATACATAACTTATCAAATGAAAAATAATATGAAAATCATAAGCTTTGTTAGTCGAGCATCAAGACAGTACATTTTTCATTAAACATCAAACATTCTCTATTGAGTATCAGAAGAATGCAATTGAGTATCATGATCTCTACTCTCATGTATATAATCGAACTCTTATGCGAATCTAATATGATACCTTTGAAATATGTATTAATATGACATTTTAAAATGAGCATAAAACCAATATCAGATGAATATATGTAATTACAAAAATTCAAAAGCTCATTTGAATTCTCTAATGTCATCAGGTTCTTTTTATAATGTTTACTTATGCATATTTATTTTACACTATAGTCATTTTAGTATAACACAAAATAATTAATAAACTAATAAACATCCCTCTTAAATTATGATGCACAATTTACAGAATATTTAAATTATTAAGGAAGGTTGATTAGAAAAATAAAATAAAAAAGATGCAAAGTGGGACATAAAATCATATTTTATATTGCACATTTTTATAAATTAAAATTAATGAAAAAGGTCATGAGAAAATAAAGAGAAAAAAACAAGAAAAAAATCAAAAGAAAAATCTAAAGAGAACTAAAGCATCACGGCAGCTAAAAAAACAAACTACAGCCTGGTGAGTGGACTTTAGATTATAAGAGAATGCTAAGATTCGATCAACAGAGCAAGAAACGACTTGGTTCTTCTCTTCCTTACCAACGGCTGCAGACGCCAACATATTACAAAAATAATCGGCTGTACTATGCTCATAGTACTACCGGTTGTACGATATAATTTGCCTAATATACATATCTCGAACTTTGTATAAAATTTTATTTTCACACCATAATTATATGTTTTTTTACAAATACAAATTTATTAAAATAATTATATAATCTAAAATACCTTAAGCTTTGTTAGAATGCAATTAACATTCTACAATTTCATTTGAGAAATAAATAATATTACATCCGGTGCAATTTAATTTTAATTACATCATCATAAATGTTTTATGTATTTAAAATCATTTACTTAACACCATAAAATTACATTTATGGAAAAAATATGGTCATGGTGGTAACATATTTTCTTATATAAAGTTTGGGGTATATACATTACATGTGCAAGTTTGGGGTACTTACGTCACACCCATTCAAATTTTGCGATATCTAAATTATTTTTCCCTTCCTAATATAACACTAATTAATGTAAAATTATACTACCCCTGTCCCACTCGTATTGAAACATGAAGAAGTCACACGATTATTAAGAAAAATGAAGTTATATGATTGATATTGAATTGATAAAGTAAAAATAAAGTAAAATTGATTGATAACCACACAAAGTTTATCAAATTTGATATCTGACAATCTCAGTTGGACGGATAAAAAAGAAAAGGTGAATTTTATGTTTTCATAGACAGGGAGTAGCAAACAAAATATTAAACAAGGTATTCATTTAGTAATTAAAGGGGTTCAAACCCTACCCGCGCGACATTACATTCCAAAACGCACACGGAGTACAACTTCCTGTAAGGAGGGTCTGACCGGAACTGCCGTCCGACTTTCTCGGAGGACTTTTCTCCCGCACCGCAAATTTTACACGCAAATAAGGTAATCCATTCATGAACCGACCAATAATCATATGGGCCACGAGCAGATATTTAATTTAGCCAATAATGGCGGAAACCCTGCAAGAGTTCATGACGCTCACCGGTGGTAATGCCGCAGATTTTTTTTACTGTGCGAGATCGATTTCTCCCACTCTAGACATCTTCTCACAGATCCAACTACTCAGATTGAAGTACCAGAAGTCACGAACATACTGTCAAAATTTCAGCCCGATCCAACGGTGAACGAAGCCGCAGCGATGAAGAACATATTGCAACAGTAGGGTTGTACGAAGTTGTTTTCTTTTCCTCTCTCTCTGGTTCTCTCTGTCCTCCAGGGAGTTGACCTCCTTCTTTGAACCTGTATAGCTTATAAGTTCCAGGATGGCCTCCAAGCCTCGCTCGTCGCCTATTTTCAATCACTTGTCCTTAGTTAATTTGGCTTGAATTTCCAGTCAAGGTCGTCTCTCCTTTTGTTAAGGATGACTTTACCAATATTAGACCCTTAGGCTCTTAGTAATTGAGCCAGATTAGGTGGGCTTCACTTTAGGTTACTTTGACCTTGGTGATTAGCCTCTTAATTGGCGAGGCTTGTGAGCCTCTCCGGTGCAAAGTTGATTCCTTCAGGTTCATCTTTAGCCTCGTGAAATCAGTCTTAACCTTGAGAAAGGTTGTCTTTTCATGTTTAAGGAAATTTGATTTTGTTCGTAAGGCTGTTTAACCTTGAAAGACTAGATAGACCTTTTGGAATTTATACTTTGTCTTTTTGCGAGTACCAATTAGGCATAGCCTTTACTTTTTTTTGTTGGTTAAGAAACCTTCGCAAGTAATGTATAAGGACATTTGTGAATGAAAACGAAACCTTTATTAAAGAATCATGTCGAATTTCCGACCTCCCAAGCCCTGTGGGAGGGGACCCACGAGATCTATTCCCCACCTTGCCGTGATGGTGGGGATATGCATGGTAGCAAGCCTGCTGGGTCTGTTTGGAACTTCTGGCAGACCTCACATTTTCGTGCGAAGACTGCGCAGTCCTTTATCATGGTTGACCAGAAGTACCCTTGCAAGATAGTCTTTCTACTTAGAGTAAACACACCTTGATGTGATGAGCATATCCCTTCGTGTAACTCCTTGATCACTTGCTGAGCTTGATCTGGCCTCAGGCACTTTAGCAGCACTCTATTGTAACTTCTTTTGTAAAGCTTGCCATCCTGGATAACATAGTTGGGAGCCCGTCTCCTGACCACTCTTGCCTTGTCTTCTTGAGTGGGTAGCGTTCCTCCTTTGATGTATTCCATCAGGTCATCAATCCAGCACCTTGAGGCTTGGCTGACTGGCAAGACCTCCTGGTCCTTGGTAACCTCGATGCTTGGCTTGCTTAGTTCATGCACTCGGGCTATGCGAGTGAGACGTCCAGGCGCATCGTTCGTTAGTTTTGACAGGATGTCAGCCTCAACATTCTAAGCTCCCGGAACACATAGTAGGATGAACTCCTCAAATTGCTTTATAATTTCTTCATTCGAGTTTATGCATTCTGGACTATGAAGTACCATGTTATCCTGAGGCCGGAGAGTAAGGCCTCATATTCAGCTTCGTTATTGGATAGATTGAATGAGTACGTGAGAGCGTGGTAAGTTTTGAAGCCTTCAGGGTTGATGAGGACCACCCCTCCTCCGCAACCTTTGGATGCTTATGATTCCACCATAAGGGTCCCCCCCTTTTTCTTCGCGACGTCTTTCTTCGGCCACGTCCTGGCAGTACATTCCACCAGGAAGTCTGCCAAGGCTTGCCCTATAATTGCGGTTCTAGGTTGGAAGCTCACCTGATACTGGCTGATCAGCAAGGACCATTTCACGACTCGCGTAGTCTTGACTGTTCTGAATAGAGTTCCCACCCCCAGATCTGACAAGACATTGATGGGGTGAGCCTGGAAGTAATGGGCAAGTTTCTTTGTTGCGGCATAGACTGCAAGGGCGGTCTTCTCTAGGGCTGGATATCTGAGCTCAGCTCCATGGAGAACCTTGTTGACATAATAGATCGGACCCTGGACCGTCCCTTCTTCGCGTACTAAGACAGAGCTAACTGCGCTTTAGGTTACTCTTGAGTTCCTCGAACGCAGCTTGGCACTCTTGGGTCCATTGAAACCCATTACTCTTCTTCATAACGGCAAGGATTTATCAGCTGGCCTGGATAGGAACCTCCTCAGGGCTGCCAGCCTTCCTGTGAGGATGTGGACCTCTCTAATGTGTTTGATGCCCAACAACATATTCAATTCCCCTTTGACGAATTCCTTCCTGTCCAAAGACATGTATCCTCTTTTTTGTTTGACAGGCATTGCCTTCGGATCCACGTTCAACCGGTGAACTGCTATGCTTGGGTCGAGCCCGGGCATATCTTCAGACTCCGGTGCTTCTACGCATATGACCACTCAGGAAGGTAACTTGGTTAATAAATCTATTTGTTATG